GGCGTTATCATGAATCCATAGCTGTCCACATTAGTATTATTTTTATGTCCTTTCATTTTCCAAGAGGACTTTACGACAGCCATCTTAAGTAGGTCAAACCATGACGAGCCTGAGTAACTAAACATTAATGTAACTAAACACTATGTAGCATATGATAAATCACTGTCACAGTGAGCTTCTGTTGGCGTTTATGAACCATTCATTTCAGTTAGTTTTTTATTATTGCCTCCCCCCAAAATAAATGAAATATTTTGTTTTATATAGCAGTGATATTAGGAAACTTAAGTCTTAACATGGAGGATTTAAAAATATTAAGTTTTGCTGCAGTTCTCAGAGAAAATGAATGCTGTTTAGTTTGACTGAGGTTTTAACTTTGTGACATGTACATGCGTTCCTTGAGGTTTGGGGTCTTATTGCATCTATTCAGGTCTTTGTGGCAGTTTGCACAGTCATTTACATTTAAATGTGTCCTCCTTTGCCTGCCTACAGTCTTAAGTTTTTCCAATGGCTCGTTATGGTTGCCAATAGCTACACATGTTGGTAAAGTGCTTTTTGTCCAGCATGGCTGTGTTCTGGTCTGTCTGTAGCCCCTGTGGTCTGTATTCTCTGCTATTTATAATGACACCCAGGGTGAACAGTACTCAGGACACCTGTGACATGCCTAATCCGGTCTTTCAGCCCACCCCCTTAAAACGACCATTTAGAATTTTGGTCTATGTCTGTGCGTCTGGTGTTTCAGCTGTTATCCAATTTAAATGTGTTTCTGAAACTAACAGGACTGCAGCTTTTGGAACTGGGAGCGGTTTCTTTTACTGGGTTGCACCAAGCAACCCACTTTTTTATATGACGTTTTAATTTGCCATTTGTACACATACGAGTACAGGCACATTGGAATGTGTCTTTTCACATCCCGACTTGCTCTCCTTTGAGATGCATACAGGTGAGAGTGAAGGGTCCTGAGCGCAGGGTCCTGAGCGCAGGGTCCTGAGCGCAGGGTCCTGAGCGCAGGGTCCTGAGCGCAGGGTCCTGAGCGCCGTGTCCTGAGCGCCGTGTCCTGAGCGCCGTGTCCTGAGCGCCGTGTCCTGAGCGCCGTGTCAGCCGGCATGCAGAGCCCCTGGAGCAATCGGGGGTTAAGGGTCCAACAGCAGCATGAATCTGCCGGGCCCCGGGATTCAACCCGGTGACCTTCCGATCACAGGCCGAGCGTCATAACCGGCTAAGCCGCACGCTGTCCCCCTCTCTAGCAACAGCCCTGATATCATGCTCATGATTTTCACGCTACTGTCCCTCGCTTGGGGATTCCCAAAGTGATCGCACACTGCAGATGTCCATCTGCGCTTACCAAAGGTTCAAATGAATTGGTAGATGGGGGTCATTCTGGCTCAACTCAACAAATGGTCTACGTTTGACCATCTCAGAATCGAACCATTTTGTGGCATTTTGTTTGCCCCTGGGCCAATATGGAAAATCCAAATTTTCTCATATCGTTAAGGGTTTACACTGGCTTCATATTTTAATGAGATTTTCCACTGAATACATATTTGGAATTAGGACAAAGCCTTGTATAGCCGTCATTTTTTTTTCCCGGTGCCTATGTGTTACTGTTGCATAGATGCAGGCATCTGAAAATGGCCGACCTAAGCAAATGGAAAATCTCATTCAGTTTTAAGCCAGTGAAAATCCTAAACTATAAGAACTATAAAACTATAAAAATTAGAATTTTTCACATTATCCAAGGGGCAAACAAAATGCCTCAATGATTTATTTTTGCGATGGCTGAGCGTGGGTGAATGACCCATGGGTCACCTGAGCTGGAAATGGAAGCGTGTGGCGGTCACCATTTGCATCCAGGGCCAAAGGAAGTTTTGTTGGTGGTGGGGGGGGGCGGTGTTTGGAGGTTGGGCTGCAGATATCAGACAGAATGTGTGTGCATTCCTGCCAGACGGCACATTCCTTACAGGTTCCTCTCCATCTGTCTCCCAGGGGGGCTTGCCCCACCCCCTCCCCAGCCTCAGTGGGCTAGTCGAATCATTTTGGACCACAGGCCACAGAGGAGGATGGGATTGTGGGTGGTGCTGTGGAGAGGAGGGGGGACCTTTGTTCTGTTGCTTTGTTGTACAGCTGTCAAGTGAGTCCTCCCCCAGACGATTTCTGTAGTGATGCTTGGGTGTGTCCACCTTTTTAGGGATTAGCAGGCTCGATTAATCCCCCCACAGTAAAACCTACATTAAGCTGTTTGTTGGGGATTGGGGGGGGGAGGGGGGCGGTGGGTTGACTCATCTAGCAGATGGCTGGTGCACACATGTGTTTGTTTGTTTATCTGTGTTGTGGACTCCCCAATACTGTTGTTATGGTTTTAATGTACTGCTCTAATTATTTTCACGATAGTCTGGATTCTGCCCAAACCCAATTCAATCTGGGGAGACAGGATGGATGAACCAGACCAAAAATAACACAATTTAACTTTGCTGTTTGACATGTCAGCTTTAAGAGAAGCATTTGTTTGTTTGATTTATAAGAAGCCATTAACACTGTCTTTGTTATGGCAGTTATTTCTTGGAAGTTGTGCAATGATGTAATGGTTGTATGGGGACCGAATGTTATAGCAAGTTTCTGGTAGCATGAGGTTGAGGTACGTTGAACTCCTGGATAGCCTGGATCAGGAGGTTATATGAAGTACTGTGTGTGTGCGAGAGGCATGACGGTTCCCATAGGGCAGTGAACGCCTGCATTGCAGGATGCCACTGGACGTATCTTGCACCCCCCATGTAAGATAAGAAAGCTTTATTATTGCTGTACAAATATAATGTACATTGAGATGTTTGGATCAAGCCTGTAGCTGCCAAGGTAAGGAAAACACAGGCCCCGCGGGTCCTCGTTGACCCCTGAAAAGTCCTCCACTCGTAACAGTTCTCTACCAATGCTGTAGCCCAGTCTCTTCTGTTGCAGGAGTGTCTTCAGCAGCTGATTGTCATGAACCTGCCCAACGTGCTGGCCATCGGCAAGGACCCCCTGTCAGGTAGGCAGCTTGTCCTCACCTGCAGGAGGTGCACTAACCTTGGTACTAGAATGCCTGTAGGTTCTACGCTGGAGCTATAAGGCTTGACTTGTTAAAACGGGCCCATCTACTGAGCAGACCGAAAGGTCAGAAGAACATGAGCCTGTGTCTATTAATGCCATCACTGGTTCATTTGAAATGTGGTTCCTCCAAGCACCCAGTAGTACTTCAGCAGAAATCTTCAAGCACAGGTGTGTTTGGTTGTTTGAGGCTAGGGGACACTTGGGAAATTTGAGCAGCGATACGTTCGGGATGTTTAAGGGGAGGGAGTAGTGACCGTGGGAACCGTGTGAGAGCAGGCACATGAAGTCCCATAGTACAGCCATCTTTCATGACATTGGGAATGTGGAAACACAGGAAAGCAACATCAGCTGACCATGCTGACTCTCTGCTGTCTGGGTGGCCAGTATGATAGAGACCACGGATTCAAGGATCTCCCACAGATTCAAGGATCTCTCACAGTCCCATTGTGCTAATCTTGTATTACTTCATATCTACATAAATACACATTGCACTATGTATATAAACTCTTGTGTCCAGCCCCCTGTTTTGCACTGTCCTGTGTTTTGCATATAAATACTGTGACAATCCTCTTTGTCAGTGCTGCTTGCGTGTTGCACTGTGGTGTTAGGGGAACACCATTGCTCGCCACTCTATACCTGAATACGGACAATAAACCCTATTTGACTTGATTGACAGTCTTTGTATTTCCTGGTATGGATCTGCTCCTTACTTAGAACTTGGGGCAAAAGTAAAATTGCCTATAGGCAGAAATCGCCCCAATGGATCAGCCTAAGAGAGAGAGATGCTAGTGTAGTGTCCTGAAAACTCACCGAAAGTCATGGTTGTAATTTAACACTTAGACCAAGCTGTTCAACCAAATGATTTGAAGTAATTGTCCTCTAATGTCTTTCAACAGCTCATTTAGTCACTTAGTGTTAAGATTATTGGCCTCTTTGTGAAATCGAATATGTATTTGCATCTTCTTTATTTTGTTGGATGGTGTTTCGTTTTTGCCCTGGCTGTTAGTTTTGCCTGTCGGGGACAAGCTTTTGTGTGATTCGCCCTGGCTGTCCCCCTGTTGTTGGTTTTCTGGATGATTTGAGACTGGAAGGAGGCGCTGACCAGTTTTTACAATGGCACTCAAACAATAGGAGTCTAACAATGGCTGGGGGGGAGGGTCTTTGTGAGCAGGCAGCTCTCAGCTCTTGATATAACTGGCACTGCGTCCCAGACAAAGCAGCGGCTGGAATGGCTTGTCTGTGGCATCCAGTGAAAAGCAGACTGGTCTTTGTATTTAAACTTGGGACACATTCGTCTGTGGTACCAGTCAATAAGCAGAGTTGTGGGATATGGTGTCCTCCACAGAAGCGGGTGGGGAGACAGCCAGCTCTGCGAAGCTGGGGGGATGGACTTGGCTGAGCCGTCTCGGCCCCGCAGGCTGCCAAAGATAGAGACGATAAAAGCTTCTCTCTGTGGCGCTGCTGCTTGGCTGGATCCGCAATGCCTGTGCTGGCTCTCCGTGGAGACCACTCTGTGGGACAGGGGTCTGGGGACCCTGATGCCCTTCTAATGGGGATTAGTGTTCTGGGGGACTCCCAGATTTGTATTCCTTGACATTGTTGCACAGTTGGTTTAATCAGTGAACAGACAGGTGATGATAGGATTATGCTAACAGTTCTGAAGAACCTGCATGCCTCCCTCTACGATTCATCTATCTGTCCAAAATGTGGGCACTAAGCCCAGATATTACACATGTGAACCATTTACTTGCAGTTTCCCAATCACTCTCCTTTGAATGCGGTTTCTGTGGTTTTGTATCACACAGAGAAGGCCATGGAGGAGATGAAGAGGCTTCTGCTGCTTATTCTGGGCTGTGCTGTTCAGGTACTTGGACCTTCTCGCTAATTCCTCAGTGATTCCAGCAGATGACATTTTCTGGACTGAAATGATTCTTCCAGATGCAGCTGGATAAAAGTGTAGGCTGAACAGCTAGAAGTGTAAAAATGTAATGTGATATTTCCAGTAACCGTTTACAACCCCAATTCCAAAGAAGTTGGGACTTTGTTCAAATTGTAAATGAAAACAATGTAATGATATGGAAATCTCATAAACTGATATTTTATTCACAACAGAACATATAAAACATGTAAAATGTTTAAAGTGTGCCCCATCAAGTACTTGATGGGGCACAAATACTTAGTAGTTAATTACTGAGTTACTACAAAGTACAAATTATGAACAAATATAGCAGCTACTTGAGATGAAAAATGCTTAACGATTTATTAATGAACAAACATGACAGTATTTCACTTCTTATTCATTATTTGTTTCTTCAGTTATTCCTACAGTAGTTCACAAAGGTTTGCTGATTTAAGAGATACAATAACAAATATAGTAGTTGCTTGAAATAAAAGATGTTGGGATTCCTTTATAGTGTACGAACATGAGATCAGTATGTAAATTAGACTGACTTTATGCATAAGTCAGAATAGTACATTATTATTTGTGCACCTCAAGTAAAGTGTTTCTGAATTTCCTCCTCCTAAGTAGCTTTATTGTCGGGTGTTTTTCTGTTCATCCTCACGCATTCAGTTCATATCCAGGTTTCCTGGCATCACGGACTTTATCTGCGCCTTGAATGGACGAGTTTTTCCAGTTCTCTGGGACACGTAAAACCTATAGAATTGGTGTGAGAGCAGGACTCTTGTGGTTTAGCCTCCAAGGCACAAACGGATCGTTAAATTCTTGTGGTGATGCAAACAAGTGCCGGTTCCCACACCATCATCTCCATAACGGCTATCGTGGCTTTCGTAACTTCACACAGAGTCTCAATACCCCCCCCCCCCACCCCACCCATTGACCAGTATTTGTAATCACTCTGCACTTCTGCTAACTTGTGGTTTATTTATATTTTTCATTTCATCATATGCTCCAATCTCACAACAAAGTGTGAACGGAAGGAAGAGTTCATTGAGAAGATCAAGCTTTTGGACATTGAGACGCAGGCAGCCATAGTCTCACACATTCAAGAGGTATATGAGTGTGGGACGGACTCCTCTGTCTGTTACTTATCCATACTTGTTAATGGGTCCTGGTCAACGAATACCTGAGATTAGGCCTCAGATGGTCCCGTCTAACGCCGTCTGTCCCCAGGTGACGCACAACCAGGAGAACGTTTTGGACCTCCAGTGGCTCGAGCTGGCCGAGCTGCCGCCCGAGGAACTGGACTCTCTGTCGCGGGTCATGGCCTTTCACCTGCGCAAGCTCATCGACGAGCGGGACAACTCTGCAGAGGTACCCAGGGGGGGCCCAGTGCATCCTACAGCCAATTGGGGTTGGCTGAGGGGGTCGGGTTAAGGAAAACCACATTTATTTAGGAGACATTTGTGTTCATCGTAACATATTAATGCAAAAGCTTGGGGTCAGAAGGGAGCAGTGAGTCAGCCAACATCCCTGGAGAGACTGGAACTTACTATTAGTCTTAGGATCCAATCCCACGATGTTCTTGCCAGAAACCCAACTCACTGAGCTACCCACTGCCACACACTGACATGTACACACTGCTAATGTGAATATTTGCTGACCCGGATTAGGCATTTGGGCATGTATCAGGGGGAGCACAATGTCCTTGAGGGGCACCAAGCAGAACACCCCCCTCCCTTAAGCCTGCATTTCTGAATTTTTGTGAGCTATCAATCAGCTTCTTTCTGACATGACGTCGTGTAGCGTACATTAATGTGTTGCTAGCTTGGGAAATTGGAGAATGCAGTGTTGGCTGTTTTATGGGATATGGGGCTGCGCAGGTTTAAAGCAACAAGTGATCATTTGCAAAAAAGTGACATGGATTTACAAATGGCAGTTATTCTAATGCAGGGGCTGCATTTGTATATTCAGACATTGCGTGACTGGTTTGACGAGACTGAGAAAGATTCTCTCGACGTCAGGGGTGTTATGCATTCATATCGGCATGATCTTCAGCAATAGGCATTTTGCTGATGAATGCTGATAATGCAGTAATATTGAGTGGCAGGCCACAACTCCAAGTTGAGATGTTAATGTCATCGTAGATCAGCTTCTCTCCTGCCTTAGTGCATGGACAAATGTATACAGAGACATACACTGTTTTATTTGACAAGGACTTCTGACATTATTGTTTGTATAAAGGTTGCTGTTCTTACCTCCACATACCTTGAAGACCTAGATAAGGCTTCTGAGGGCAGAGCTGAATCCGTTCCAGTATAGTGCAAAGGACACAGAATCACTGACACTGCAGCTAGAGACTCTTGCAGAATGGACTTCAGACAGCATTCCCTGACATTTGTTGTTTTCAGATTGTTCTTAATATTGTCAGTAACTAACTGTGAAGGAGAGATGTCTTTTTCTCTGTTAAAGAGTCAGAAGTGAGCTGAACACAGCAATGACTCAAAGGCTGTGTGTACTCTTTGCTGGTCGCTGAGTCAGTGCTAGTGAACATTTTGGATTTTGAGGACATTATACACCAGGTTTCTGCCACAAAATCAAAGAAAAACACTTTTAAAATGCCTACGAATTGAGCGGTGGTGTGTTTCTTTTCATTTGGCTCGTCGTTGCTACAGCAGAGTCCTCAGTTTTACTTATAAGTCATGCCTGTTATCTACCACCTGATGACAGAGGTATTAGGCATTGATTACTTGACTGGGAGCAAGGAGGGGTTCAGTGTCTCACTGAAGGACTCATGAGTGGAGAGTGTCTGGGTGCAAACCTGCAGCTCTGGTGATCAGTCAAGACACCCTTCCTGAAAGGGAGGCTGACACCCAGTGACTGAAGTGAAGCTGGTAAAAGTTAAACTCCGATAACCTTGTTTGCCCCTCTGGGCACTAGTCAGGTATTCATACATCAGCTTCAGATTTTTTTTCCATGTTTCTGCACATGCTCAGGTGATTGTGGAGCTGAGCCAGGAGCGGGACTATCTGCTGCTACAGCAGCCCTCCAGCCCCCCTCCAGTGACACGTTCGCCAGCATGTCCCCCCCTGGAGGGCCCTATCACGCTTCTCTGCCGGGAGGACCGGCAGCACCTGGCCGTGGAGCTAGCAGACTGCAAGGCCAAGCTACGGCGCTGGCGCCAGGAGCTGTGAGTGACTGAGCCTGAGTGTCCCCAGGGACAGGATGTCTGCACCCGGGCAGGAAGTGGGCTTGTCTTTCTGGTTAGGTTCCTCATCAGGAGACGCGCTCACTCCGCCCAGAGCAAATTGTCTTCCTGTTCCCCTCTTGTTGCTTCTTACGATATGCTACACCTGGCAAGATCATGTCCTCCTGCACACATTACACCTGTGTGGGGCTGGGCCTGGGGCTGGGCCTTAGGGGGGGATACTACCATCATCAGCCACACATTCACCTCTGCTGCCACCAGTTCTGTTTTCCTATTGCTTTCTGTGGCCAAGTGCTTACAGAAACATCAGTGTAAACTTTTTATGTCAGTGTACAGTGGTGCCTGCGGTTCATGAACACTGTGGTCTACGAACAATTTGGTTCAAAAATTTTGCAAAAAAAATTTGATTGTTTCGCGTACAGAATTTGGTCGACAAACAGATTCCTCAAGCAGATTCCTTTTTTTATACCAGTGCAGCACCGGCGGGGCGCGTGTCCCAGCATGCCTCACATGCAATTGTAAATAGAAGGACCACAACAGGCACCTAACGAGCACGGAACCCAAATACACGCTAAGTACACAAGAGGATTGGGTACATACAAGACATGGACAAACACACGCGCGACAGTAGGGAAATTCAACCATTAACATTAACATTGACAAGAATACAAGGGTTAAGGATTGTTAATAAAGAGCGTGATTTCCCCGGGAAGCAAGTCTCCATGTCTCTCTCTGCACCCGCGATGGCTTGGTCCGCCCATTGCCACACTATATTGTGTTTTTCTTTAAAGTTTTTACTATAAAAATCAGAAAATTAATTAACAAAACTTATTATTTGGTAGGCTTCTGAATTAATTAATCGAATTTCAATGCTTTCTTATGGGAAAAATTGCCTTGGTTCGCGTACAAATTGGTTCACGACCACTTTCCTGGAACGGATTGTGTTCGTGAACCGCAGGCACCACTGTATTTATGCCTAGGTTCCACCAACACAAAGCCGGTGCTGGGCTGGTATGGAAGTAAATTAATGACAAAAGTCGTTGATGGGAAAAAAAAAAACACGTTGAATTACACT